AAACACCTGAGGCTGGGTAGTTTATAACAACAAACAGGTATTGTTTACAGTTCTAGAGGCTGAGAAGTCCTAAATCAAGGCTCTAGCAGGTTTGGTGTTTGATGAGGGCCATTCCTCATGGATGGCACCTTCTTTGTGTCCCCAGTGGTGGTCCTCAAGCCTCTTTGATACAAATGTTAATCCCATTTATAAGGGGACCTGCTCCTGACCTAGTCATCTCTTACTACTGCCACATTGGGGGTTAGATTTCAACAGGAATTTTGGAGAGACCCAGACCTTCAGAGTACAGTAGATGCTTTGCCTGTCACCAGGCAGAAATGGAGGCCTTGCCCATGACATTGAGGAGCCTGCAGTCCCTGTCCCCTGTAGAAATGTATCACACAGGATGTGGTGGTATCCTGCCTCAGGGACCAGAAATGACTTCACTGTCGAGTGGGCGGCAGCTCCGCTTCCCACCAGGGAAGTCCTTCCTCCTGCTGGCTTAGTGTTGAGGAGGGAGGGTTCTACCTGCCTCCAGGCCGGGCAGAGGGGTGCAGCACAGTCGTTTCCACAGTCGCTCCCTGGTGAGATGGACAGACGCACCGCTGTGTCCTGTGTCCACATAGGGCAGCGGGGAAGGGTCCAGAAGACCTGCCCTGGCCCACCTCCCGGGAGGCCCTGGCCACACCACTGCCTGTGGGGTCCCGTCGCCCGGCTCCCCTGGGCTCTTCTTGAGTCCTGGAAAAGTTGGCCACGCGTCGTTCCTTGGCATTTGGGGACATGGTCTTCAGTGTACTGTTGGCTGCTCAGGTGCCGCAGGTGACTCCGAGGCAGCCTCTGTTCTGCGGCCTGAGCGGCCGGGGTCTGGTGTGAGGCTGCAGGTGCGGTGGCCCTGCTGACCTCTGCTGCCTGAGGGGCGCGCTGGTGGCCCCTGGAGGAGTGTGGCTGAGGACGTTTGATGTTGGGGTCCCCATTATTGTATCTGAAGGATGAGATACATTTTTTAATATTTTGAAGGATGAAATTTCTGGAGGAAACGTGCCACCATTCCCTTACGGCAGGTGATGCTAATTTCATATCAGGAAATTCAGAAACTTATGAAAGTGAGTTACTGCAGAAACCGTTCTAAGAAGAAAAATCATAATTTGGTGTTTGAGCTGCTAACTGCAACGGTCACCGCCCGTCGGATTCGTTTCACTTTCCCAGATCCCATCCTCTCTTCTGTCCCCAGGCTTCTAAATCCCTTCTGTGACGTCAGGGGCAGCCTCAGGGAGGCCACCTACTGAGGGCCTTTACTTTTCCCTCAATTAATATGGCTTGAGCATCCCCAACCCCCAAATCCCAAATGTTCCAAAATCCAGAACTTTCTGAACATTGTGTTGGTGCTGAAAAAGTTTTGACTTTCACAACATTTCAGATTTGGGATTTGGGGATTAGGGATTTTTAACTGGTAAAGTCTATGCAGATATCCAACCTGAACTACTTCTGCTCCCAAGCATTTCAGAGAAGAGATACACAACCGCCAAGTTTTGCCTCTTACACAATGTTCAAGTTTCTGCGGGACCTCCCTCACAGGCAGATTTCACATATTTCATAAACCGTATTTATGCTACATAAAGGAGAAAATGAATATGAAAGGGAGCAAACACAAAACCTAGAAAAACTTACTCATCAACTGTTGCATGACTTCGTTTGTGTATAATTGTGTGTGTGTGTGTGTGTGTGTGTGTGTATGTGTGTAAAGCCATATGCACCCTGGGGACCCGAGGCCAGGGTCTCTTGTGTATTGAGCATGTTCTCTACCACTGAGCCGCAGCCTCACCATTTTAAAAAATTCTTAATTAAGTCACAGGTAATGGGATTTAGCAGGCAGAGACAGGATGATCCGTCGCTACCATCTGCAGGGTGCTTTCAATTACAGTGTGTTTCTGGAATGAGAAAAAAATTGTTTTGAAGGCAGTAGGAAGAAAAATTGATACAAGTAACTTTTTGCAAGATAGTGTGGGTCATACCGGCATTGTGACACAGGAAAATCCCTCGTTGGGAGGTATTTGGAATAAATAGTAGCAGGGCACATGCCTGTAATCCTAGCCACTCTGGGAGGGTTAGGAAGGAGGATTGCGAGTTGGAGGCCCGGCTGGGCAGTCTATCAAGGCCCCGTCTCAAGAAAAGAGACAGAAGGAAAGCACTGGGGGGTAGCTAGGGTAAAGTCTCCTGGTTTAATCCTAATTACAAAAAAAAAGTCCTATTGTTATCCTGGACAAAGAAAACAATTTATGTACAGAATGACAATATTTCACCAGCCATGCTTCATTAGTTTCGGCCTTAATTTCCCTTTCTGCTGTGTTCAGTACCGATGTTTAACTATCACTCACGGAAATTTTAATATTTGCTTACTGTTTAAAACATTTAAAATAAGCTACTATCAAGAATGAAATGTGCTGGGCCCAGTGGCCCACGTCTGAATCCCAGCGGCTTAGGAGGCTGGGGCAGGAGGAGCAAGTTCAAAGCCAGCCTCAGCAATGGTGAGGTGCTAAGCAACTCGGTGAGACCCTGTCTCTAAATAAAATACAAAAGAGAGCTGGGGATGTGGCTCAGTGGTCGAGTGCCCCTGAGTTCAATCCCCAGTACCCACCCCCCAAAATTAAATGTAATGTGGTTTCACAGCATCTTCATTCCAGTTTTCTTTTAAATTAGCAAGTCTTGAAACGGGTGCTAAGGGAACAGTGAACACCCTTAGAGGTGATAATAGTTACAAACTTTTCATGTGTTTTCATTTAATAACAGATGTGCTATCTTAAAATTCTTTGTCTATGATATGTATTAGTTCATTTCACTTTAATATATGAAAACAATATAGTGACATATAGTAACAAAAATAGGGTTTGTCTTAAAATTGACCTTCTTTTAAAGCTGCTTCTAAGACATTGGAGATCCAGACGTAGTGAAAGGATACCACCGCCCTAGAAAGCAGTTTGGTAGTGTCTGAGAAATAAATTCCATATGACATACATTCAGCCCTTCCACTCCAGGTATTTGTCCCACAGAAATAAAAACAAAACACAAAACCTTATGCCCAGACGTTTACGGCAGCTTTACTCATAACAGTTCAAACCTGGAGCCGACCCAGGTGTCTGTGAGCTCGTGAGTGGATGAGGACCTGTCTGGTGGAATTCTGCTCAGCATCGGAACAAAAATAGACCCCAACCACTTGGCTGAATCTCAGAGCAATGACACTTAGTGAGAGAAGCCACATGCCCCCCAAAAGGAGCACATACTGTATCATTCCATTCGTAGAATATGCAACCTGATTTACGGGGGTGGGGGGGGAGGACAGTGGTTGGCAGGTGTCAGTCTTTACATGTGAAGAACTTTATGTGATTAACTAATAATCATGTTGAATAAGGACCTACATGTGAAAGGCAGAACCACAGACCTTAGAAGGCAGCCTAGGAAAACATCGTCATGGTCTCCAGGAGTGGGAGAATTAGGGCACAAAAGGCACAGAAGGAAACCCTCATAAATTCAGAAGTGTTCAAATTTAAAATTTCTGTTTCTAAAAAGGGGGAAAGAACCACAGATACTTGTGGCCCATATAATTGACAAAGAATCCGTATCTCTATTGAACTTCGACTCAATAAAAAAAGATGACCCAATAGAAAATCGAGCAAAAGACATGAACAGGATGTAACCTGTTCTTGTCCAGTAATTAGCCGTCACAGGTGGGGCCATGCCGCAGGGGGCTGAGGCTGCTGAGGGCCACAGGTTCGAGGCTGGCCTCATCAACATAGACCCTGTCTCACGCAGTGATGTGAGGACCGGGGAGGTAGTTCAGGGGCAGAGTGCCAAAAAGGAGGAGGAGGAAGGAGAGGAAGAAGAACCCAAATAATCAATAAATGTGAAATGAGCCTAAGCCTTGTTTATTATTCAAGGAAATATGAGTCATTGTCAAAGTTAGAGTCCATTTCCTGTCCATACCTCTAGTGGATAAAGTCTGGTAGTTTAACTGTCAAAGGTAGGTGGGTACAGAACAAGCGGAACACATACCCGCTCTTAGAGGAGAAATGGGTACGAACATGTTGGAAAACTATCCAGCATTATCTAGTAAAGATGTGTCAACCCAAGGCCCAGAGTGCCATGTGTACCAGTAGAGAATCTCATACATGTGGGTAGCAATATCTTTGTACAGGAATGTTCACAGCAGCACTGTAGTAGGGAAAAAAAAAAACTGGAGGCATCCAAATCACAACAGTGTTGGAACGGATACACTGTGGTATGGCTCTACCACAGAATACTAGACAGCACTGAAAAAGAACACGGGAACAGAGCAATGAGGAAGCAAAAGCACAAGTTGTAGGATATGTACAGTGTGGTTCCATTTTTTAAAATTTTGTTTTAATTGTAGTTAGACACAATAACCTTTATTTTTATGTGGTGCCAAGGATCAAACCCAGTGCCTCATGCGTGCTAGCTGAGCACTCTACCATAGAGCCACAACCCCAGCCCCAGTGTGATTCCATTTTTAAGGACACAGATAACCATTGTGCAACTATGAAAAGAAAGCACGGGAATATCCACAAAATTCCAGAAACGGTTAGGGGGGAGGACCGGAATATGATGAGGAAGTAAACAACTCAGGCGCTGGCGACTTCAAAACAGTAGCAATGTTCTTGTTCTATAATTAGACATGTTGGTAGCATATTTATACCTTATATGTATAGCATTCAAACCTACACAGTATTTAATAAGGTCCATTTTATTTAAACTAAGTATAAATTGCAGAATTTAGCATATGAATTTGAGGATCTTGAATCTTAGGTGCCTGCAGGAGAATTATGCTTTTTTTTTGATGAAAAGATAATGAGTTTTACCCCAGTATTTCTGTTTAATCATTTAAGTTTCATTTCATTAAATGGAAAGTGGCTTCCTTGCAATATATTGTGCGCACTTGGAACATAGCCTTAAAATCTGCTTCTTCTCCCCCCCCACTTCTCTGGACCCTGCTGTTCCTCAATTTACAGGAGAGATTTGAAGCACTTTTCACTCTCTACGATGACCAGGTTACCTTTCAGTTATTTAAAAGCTTTAGAAGAGTCAGAATAAATTTCAGCAAACCCGAAGCAGCAGCAAGAGCTCGGATCGAACTCCATGAAACAGACTTCAACGGGAAGAAGCTGAAGCTGTATTTCGCACAGGTACGTCTCAGCGTGGCGGACCTGCTCTCTGAATCTCTCCACCCACGGGAACTCTCACCTCCTCCTCTGCTGTCTCATCAAATCAGAGGTTTTTGAAACAAACCATCCCAGCCAGCAAATAATGTAAACTTCCCTTTGTTTTATAGGTACACGATCTGATTTACCTTCTGAATATACTTATCCTCCTAACCTTTGTGTTGCTGAAATGGTAGGAATTCATTTTTCTGGCAGCTTTGTTCAATGAGGGCTCCGCGAGGGTTAAGCCCTGGGACCCTGTGGTTAGTGAGTTAATTTTTTCCCTGTGTATCTGGCACTTAGGATGCGAAGTCCTCCTGAGATGTGAGAGAACAGTCTCTCAAATCACTTTTTGAGTTTTGATTCGTCTGAGGAGCCTCTTGGAAAAAAAACTGCCAATCCGAGGGATGGCCAGCAGGGGGCGCAGAACCCTGTGGCAAGGCTGAGCTGGTAGTGATCCCCAGGCAAGGGCTCTCATTCTCTGATCCTGCGTGGGTGTGGCTCTTTAATAAACCAGTTTTTTCTCAAAGGAATCAATGAAAAAAAAAAAAGCATTAGATCTCATGAATGAAATATATTGTTTTATCGTCCAAAATAATAATAAGTATCCCCTGCCTCCCGCTCTTTTACTTCTAAATATAAAGCGAAAGAGGTTTGCCATCTTGCTTTCCAAATGAACACCTGAATGAAAGCTGGGTAGACATTTCCCAGTCGTCTTTTGAAAGGGAAGGTGAAATCAGATGGCACAGTTACCTGTCTTCTAACAAGGGGGTCGCATCAGTCGAGATAACTGACCTGTAAAGAGCAGGGGGTGGTTTGGCTCATAGTTGGGAGGTTTTGGTGATCACTGGCCCCTGGCTTTGGGGCCTGTGGTGAGGGCAGCGCCTCGTGGCCAGAGCTCAGGGGGAACAAAGTCACTCACCTCGTGGCCAGAAAGCAGAAGAAGCAGCAAAGGAAGAGGCGGGGGTCCCCTGTCCCCTTCAAGGCACTGGCTGAAGACTGCCATTGGTCCCCACTTCCGCGGCTCCCCGTCTCCCAGTAGCGCCCCCTGAGAGCAGGCCACACCGTAGCTCACCTCACCTTTGGGAAGTGGTTCCTGCTCTGCCTTTCCTTGGTCATTCATTCATTCATTCTCCTCAATGAGCACCCGATGTACGTGGCCCCGCACAATGAGCCCAACGGCACCCACCCCACCTTCCTGGGGCTGGAAGACGCTCAGGGGAGGTTTCACATTTTCTCTCAGACAGTGTGACAGTACGTGTCATGATGGCAACGAAGAAAAACCGCCCCGTCCACAGAGTGGCTGTGAGTCTCTCCCTTCCTGCAGGTGCAGATGTCCAGCGAGGCCCGGGACAAAGCCTACTTACTGCCACCTCAGCCTGCCAAACAGTTCCTCATCTCCCCTCCCGCGTCGCCCCCCGTGGGGTGGAAACAGAGCGAGGACGCCATGCCCGTGATCAACTACGACCTGCTCTGCGCCGTGTCCAAACTGGGGCCAGGTAACGAACCTTGATTTTTCCCGTTTTTGTCCCAAGACACTTTCGTATGGAAGGCCACATTCAGCCTGGTGTGTTCTGGCCACCCAGGGGCACACAATGACAATGGCAGACACCATCACATCAGCCTGGGTTCAGATTCCTGCTGTGTGTTTTCGAGCTCCGAGATCCTGAGCGAGTTCCGAAGCCTCAGTTTTCTGAGCCTTCCTTGCTTTCCTCTATAGAGATGATCCTCATGTTCACTGTGATTTCAGGGATCAATTTACAGTGCATAACACTCAGTAGTTCTGATGTGTGTGTGTGTGTGTGTGTGTGTGTGTGTATGGTGCCAGGGATTGAACTCAGGGGTGCCTAACCACCGAACCACATCTGTAGCTCTCCCCCCCAAACCACCTTTTTAATTGTATTTAAAGACAGGGTCTCCATAAATTGCTGAGGCTGGCTTTGAACTCATGATCCTCCTGCCCCAACCTCCTGAACCACTGAGATTACAGGGCTGCACCACCAGCCCGGCTTAATATCTTCACCGTTACAAATTCTAGGACTGGAATTAGCTGCCTTCTCTCACTGGCCCCGTCATGTACCAGATAGATGACAACTACCTTGTATCTCAAGGAATTGGTTGTCGTGTTATATCATCCCTTCCAAATTGTTCTCTGAGCTTTCATTTTGACCTTGCTTCCCTGATTTCTCCCCACCTGTCTTATCCCTTTAAAGTAACACAGACACAGATTTCGTGCTACTTGTCCACCCAGGACAGCGTCTCACCTCTTGTAGGGGCTTGATTAGAGGAGAGGCTGGGAATTCTTAAGACACCCACCTTTTTGACTTCTGAGGTCCTAGAATAGATTGCCGGTGCTGCCTGGAGCCTTACCAGCGTCTCTGGGGGACGCTGAAGCCATCATGAAGTGCAGCAGATTCTTGGTATTATTCATGCCACAGTCGGGGGCATCTACATGCTAATTTGCGAGACCTCAGGCCCGGGACACCATTGTGTATAAGAGCCTTACGTCATGGAATCTGTAACACCAAAGCCAGATAAAGTACTCTGACATAGGATTTAATGATTTTTAAAAATTATCAATAATAGAAATGCTAATAGCACAAGATGTTCCGAGGGACCTGCGGTTCTTCCTGCTGGAGGTGACGCCTTGGGGCCCTTCTTGCCTCCACAGGGGAGAAGTACGAACTGCACGCGGGGACCGAGTCCACACCGAGCGTGGTGGTGCACGTCTGTGAGAGCGAAACTGAGGAGGAGGAACCAAAGCTCCCGAAGCAGAGAATCACCCAGACCCGGCGCCCGGAGCCCCCCAGCGCGGCGCAGAAGGAGCCCCAGGCCTTCGACTGTGCGCTGTGAGGCCCGCGCAGCCTCCGCCGCAGCTCTGGCCGTCGCCTCCAGGGGGCGCTGTGGCCCCAGGGCGGGAGGCTGCAAGGGACCCGGGCTGCCCTTCGCTCTGGGTGGGATGGAGGCGCCGCGGTTTCACGGGTTTGAAATGTTGAGTGATACTCCAAATGGCAGGTTAAAGGATTAGCCCCCAAGATGTGACGCTGATGACCGTTTTAAACAGTGACAACTAGGAACATGGCTTCCCCACCCCAGCAAGGTTAGCGCCCCAGATTCCACTGGGCTTGGGTACCACACATGGAGCCGTAGCACCCTGTTTGCAGTCCCATTTTTACAAATTTAAAAATAGTCTTACAGTGTTGATCATCTGGCTGGGTGTTTTTATTTTGGTATAATGGCTTCTAATACATTGATCAAGGGTAATTGTTATTTGGTATACATGACTTTTTTTTTTTGCACAAAAAGAAACCTGAAATACAGAATAATTCATAATTATTGATAATGAATAATGAATCTTCTTTTTTCTCTTTTTCCAAGTTTTTTTTTTGTTTTTGTTTTTGTTTTTTGGTTAACCTTGGGGAAAGAAATGCCAAATCCACTATGATGATCAGAACCAAGTGGCGCCAGCCAGTGTGTGCGCTCTTCTTACCCTTGGCAGGCTCTTAGTAGAAGCTGGGGGAGTACTGCATGCAGGTGGCTCTTCCTGGTATGTCCCCCTCACCCCCAGATGGGCTTCTGGGGAAGAACTGGTACATGGGAAGAGGGACACATCACGAGGAAGCTTGACTGGCTGTGGTTGGGGTGGCTGCCGCGTTCTACCATTGGGAACCCCAGTTCTAGCCTCTGGACGGCCAGGCCGTGTGCTCTGCAGTCTGCTACCTTCCCCAGCACTGTCAGCCACTAGTTGTTGAGTTTTTCTGTGCTGTACGTATATTTGTGTATGCCATTAATAGTCTTGAAAGTAGAAAAGGTAACCATGAGATTTTTTTCTGAAGACTCTTTTAAATTTTTCTATTGGGATATTTCCAGCTTGCTGGGGAAGAAAAGTCAGGCATACTATTTTTCTATGAATTAGCAGGCGAGGGGAGAGGTCATACTTTTGTTTTCAATGAAATTTCTTATGTTGGCTTATAGTTATCGTTTTTCCCTAAAACAGGATAGTTTCTCACTTATGTTTCAGAGGTGTATTTGAACCTCCCAAGGTAGAAGTAGTATCTATTTAATGCTCTGTGTTCTATTCAGAATTTGCGGTCCCTCTTAACAGAAAAGGCCTGTAACTGAGCGTGCTCTGCTATTGGCCAGGTGGCCGCTGGCTCTGTGCTGTTTTGTGTGGCAGATGTCCAGAGCTCCCCGGACAGATATGAGGGAATTGCACCGGAGTTAGAACTGATAAACCACAGTGGCTACGCTGCAAAGAAAGAAAGAAAAACGCAGAAATTCAAACCATAATATCTGTATATTGTTGGTAACATGTTGTTGTACTTTAGTTCTTATTATAGTAAATTTATTTCTGAGGACTTAAACTCTATTACCCAAACAACCCACAAATTGGAGAGAACAAAAGTTTTCTGGGTTTTTTTTGCCCCTCACGTGCTGAAATGATAAGCTCTCCTATTTGTATATATTTGCCATTGCTAAGCCTCGATGTAAATTCAGGTGAAATTTACAATTCCAGAAACAAGTAATTTATTGAATTCAGATCATCATTTGTCAGTTCAGCTGACAGCCACTCAATAAATTTATTTTGCTATTTATTTATTTATATATTTATTTATTTGCAGTGGAGCCTCCCTGTGTTGCCCTGGTTGGTCTCAAACTCCTGGGCTCAGTTGATGTTCCGGGACTCTGGCACACACCGTCACCCCGCTCCACTCCACAGTTGTAAGCTCAGGACTCTGCCTCTTTCTGATTGCAGGATGGACCCGACTTACCTGTCAAGAAATGTAGATTTTTTTTTTTTTAAAGAGAGAGAGAGAGAATTTTAATATTTTATTTTTTAGTTATCGGCGGACACAACATCTTTATTTTGTTTTGTTTGTATGTGGTGCTGAGGATCGAACCTGGGCCGCACGCATGCCAGGCGAGCCACATCCCCAGCCCCAGGAAATGTAGATATTTTCAACAGTTGAGAAATTTTAAAATTTCCTGTTAGGTAATATTTATTCACTCTAATTTTTAAAATGATTAAAACCCCATAATATTTTGTTATTTGGCTCGGATTTCATTCTCTACCTGCCAATCAAAGAGCATGTAAGATTTTTGTTGTTGTTGTTAACTCAAACAGTACAACTAATCAATTTATTCTATTTCTCTCTCTCTCTCTCTCTCTCTCTTTTGAGAGAAAGTACTGAATAAATTGAAGAAAACTTTAAACCAAAAGTACGTGCTTTGTACTTTCTATATGTGTTATTTATAGACCATGGATTTATTTTCAAAAGGCAGATCTCAGACATAATTAAGCCATGGAAAATGCACTCAGTTTGTGGTGGGCCAGGTCCTTCGTCCAGAGTCAAGGACCTCAGACCTGTTGGAGAGGTGACCGCTGCCGTCTTTCCTTTTCCTGTCCCTCCTCTTCCTGTCCCTGTGCTTTTTTTTTTTTTTTTTTTGCACATTTACATTTTCATCTTTCTGCATTCAAGGAAATAGACAACTTAAAATCATTTTTTTTGACTGTGTAAAGGAACAGATGAGCGGGGCGGGGGGGAGTAGTAGCTTCTAACGGGGGAAGTTCATATAATAGAAACTCATTTGTTTAAAAGTATAAACTGAAAGGACCAGCTGTGTGACCCTGGCCAACCATCTGATAAATACCCACTTGCTTCACAGCTCCCCAACGTCATCATCAGAGTGACACTGTTTTCCTTCATCACAAATGTGGGGCCGGGTGTTCCCAACTTGAAGGTGTCATAATTCCCAAATGCGCCAGCCACGCGGCAGCTGAAGCAAGAATAACTGCCTCGTTCATTGGCCAAGAACATGGTGAACGTCGTCCAGCCCGGGTTAAGAACCATCCTGGGGCTAAGTCCAAGCACCCCTACCCACTAAAATAAAAGCTCATAGACTTTCCACTAAATCAGATGCAGGGTCTGTGCTGTAAGCCCCCATTTCCTTTGGAAATAGTCACATTCATCCAACTCTTGCAACTCGGCATGGCCTTGACTGAGGTTTGTTCTTGTGGTACAGAAGGTTCATGGTGATCTATGCAGATAACATGTGCTTTTCCACTTCATCTCCTGTTTAGTCCCCAACCATCCAAGCTCAGATCCGGATCTGGAGAGAGGGCCAATGCCGGTGCCATTGTTGGGCCCTGTGCTCCCTGTGCTCCTCGACCCGGAGTGAGTGTGAATATCTGTCCCCACTGTCATGCACACCAACCCAAGAGAACTTTCCCCACCATCTCACTTCCTCTTAATCGAGCCCAGGAGTTGGATTTACTGTTGTGTCTGAACACATTTGTGACCTCGCGTTCCGTTCTGGGGTACTGTGAGCTGTACTTCCAAAAACTGTAATCTGTGTACACGTGTCCCACCTGTCCGTGCGCTTGGAGAGACAGCAGGGTTTGTACTTGCTTGGCCATTGTCAGCTTTAACTCTCCTGTGGTTTGAGGACCTCTGAATTTTCCTTGTCCTGTCGAGGGGACACAAAAGCAGAATGTAATTTGGGGGGGGGAGAAGCTTCATGATGATTCGTGACAAGTTTTGTTTTTAAAAGTAATAAAAATAAAGTCGCTTTTATTTAATCAGCCCACTGAATCGAGTTCTTTGTACAATTTTCAACATGCATCAGTTACATTTAGGCATTAACATAAAAAATACAGGAAAGTGAAATATTATGTTTGTTCCTGTAACAGGAGTCCTGTTGAACATGAATGCTGTTCTGTGCCAGAGTTCAAGGGTGAGTCACTGCCGACCGGAATAAAGACTGTAGTGTAGTTCTGCACCAAGAAAAGTTCTGGCCCTGGTTTCCACCTCCCTGAAATATGATTTATTCTTGATAAGGCTTATTTTCTGTCTTGACTTTAAAAAAAAATAAATCTCCAAATCAAAATATGGAAACTCGAAAGACTGCGGAGGTTCTCTAGTAAAAGGGTTTGTTAATACTTACTTTTAAGACATAAAACTCTGCTCTTTGTTCAAAAGAAATCTTACATGACACCCAATGTAAAAAATGGATTATGAAAAAGAACAGGTAAGCAGAGAGGCTACATTTGAAGGAGGCAGAGAAGGAGTGGGGTGCCCCCGCCACAAGAGCGCTGTGGAACCGGCGCTCCTTCACCTCCTTCAGTCACCTGAGCTTGTCCCCACCCACCCACACCTGCACAGGAGGCGGAGCCCAGCTCGCACACCTGGGCCAGAGTGACCTGGGAAGGATCAGAAGCCATTATCCCAGGTTCTTCCGACCACGCTCTACTGTTAAACTGAAGTCTTTAATTTTTCCAGAGAAAATATATTAGAAGTCAAAGCTAGATATTGTTTTGTTGTTAATAAAACTAAAGCAGGGCCGCCGAAGCCCTTTCCACTTTTGCAGATGCTTCTCCAAACTCTTCTGCGGGGCTGTCTCCAGGTGGAGCTGAGCTGCCAAGCTCCTGGGGCCTCCAGCAGCTTCCTCCAACTCATCTAGGGTTTGTAGAACACTGTGATCCCAGCATCAGGTTTAGCTCGTTGGCTCCTTGAAAACCACTGTAAACATCCTAAGGGGGGAAAAGACAATTAAAAAATACAAAATAGAAAATATAAACATTTAAGTAATTTCCCTTGAAGCCTGTCATAAAAGTAGAATTCAACAATATAAATATAGAGTCCTATTATCACCAAGAAATGTTAAAATAGATGGCAGGAGGAACTCTCCCTGCCCCCTAGGCACACACGGAAACATGGCTGAAAAATAAGTACAGAAAAGACTAAAATTCTTATGTAGGAAAGATCTCAAGTCTTGCCAAGCTTATTTTCAAGACAGAAAATAAGGCTTATCGAGAATAAATCATGTTTCAGAGTATAAATGGAAGGGACCCATGGGTTAGATATTTAAATGGGTGGTTCAGAGCGTGTGATTTAGGAATAGATTGTGATCCAAAATATTGGGAAGAATTGAAGTTTCTGGATGGCAGTAATTCTAGGAAATTTTAAATGTGCCCTTTTACATAGTCTCCTGGTAGCCGTACAGTGGTGTATGGTTTAAGGACAGGGGTCAGTCCTCAGAAATGCGTCATAGAAAATGTTGGCGGGTGAACATCATAAAGCGTACCTAACACCAACTAAGATAGCTTCAACGTCACTAGGTGGTATGATCCCGGGGGGCCATCCTGTACGTGCCATTGTCATTGACTGAAGCTCAGTGAGGCAGCCCCCAGTTCACTGTGTTGCTCAGATGTGAGGAACTGGACCCCCTTTGTCTCGTTGCCTGGGTTCTTGAACATTTGGAGGAACATTCTAAAATCTTGACTGGGGGTCTGGTTAAAGGATAGATTTGTGAAATAAAATTATTTTACTAACTGTAAGAGTGGTGTTGCATTAGGGCATCAGAAAGAGCCCTCTGGGTTTCATGGGTGGGAAAATCAAGTTTATCCAGCTATTAGAATCTATAAGAAATTTCACCAAAGTGTCTTGACCTAAGAATAACTTAGAAAAAACAGGAGCATTTCCTTACACTATGGATGACCAAAGAATAACCAATAAGATACTATTCACAACTGCAACAAAACATCCCCAGAGACAAACTGAAACTCTAAAAGGGATCTAGATAATTTTAGTACATGCAGGTTTCATGCTCTCAAGTGGTTAAACTTTTTATAAATTTCAATTTTTCTCCAAATTAATATAAATTTAATAAAAGCTACCAAAATTCCAATTATATTTTCTATAATAAACCCATTAAATTTATTCTAAAGTTTTTATGAAAGGGACTAGGGATATAGCTCAGTTGGTAGAGTGCTTGCCTCACATGCACAAGGCCCTGGGCTCAATCCTCAGCACCACAAAAAAGTAAACAAATAAAATAAAAATAAATTTATGGAAGAATAAAGAAATACAAGTAGGTAAGATAACTTTTATTTTGGTATTGGGATTCGACCAAGGGTGTTTAACCACAGAGCCATATCTCCAGCCCTTTTTATTTTTTCTTTTGAGACACGGTCTCACTAAGTTGTTGAGAATGGCCTCAAACTTGTGATCCTCCTGCCCTAGCTTTCCAAGCCACTGGGTGCCATCTTAAGACAACTTGAAAAAGAGAAGATGACATGCCCTATCAAATATTATGACAACCTATAGAGTGAGGTGAGGCTGGTGCAAGAACAGACCAACTACCGAAAAGTAATAGAAACTAACTCCTGTCTATGTGAGAATTTATTATACAATAAAGTGCCACCATAAACAGACGGAGAAAGGTTAACATCCAGTGGTGCTGGGAAAGCTGGTTTCGTATATGGAGGTGAATAAACATTGGTCTCCCATCAAATACCCTGTAGAAGATGGACTCCAGATAGTTAGCATAATAAGTCTCAAGTTTTCAAAGCTGTAAATATGACAATGCCTTAAAATAGGTTGGAAATCATAATCTAGACTTTAAATGTCCTTTATCTATTCTTCGTTTATTTTTCCAAATGCTCTGATCATTTCCTATTTTCTCAAAGAAGAGAACTCAAAGCATTTTTTATTTCAAAGTATCCGTAAGTGGTATGTTTGTTGCTCATTTTAAATATTTTGTTGGCATCCTATATGTAGGACAATGGGACACAGTGGGTTAAAGACACAAGTAC